GTACTAGCTTCTTTAATATTTATATTCACATGGGTAACGGTATTTTATATTTTTAGATACTCTTCCCTCTCCTCCTTAAGCGCGACTGTAATCACTGCAATAATGTCACTTTTCCTTCACAAAAATTTATTTTCTACGCTGCTTGTTATTGGAATATTAATTTTCCTAAAACATGATAAAAATATCATGAACCTTTTGCAAGGCAAGGAAAGTAAGCTACTATAACTATAAAGATTAACTATTAATTATATTGCTAACACTCGAACACCTAGATAATCTACCATTTAGTAATACTAATTTGTCTTTTGTGCTTAAATTTACTATTTCTCCTTTTACTATACTATCTACTTTCTCTACTCTTAATAATTCATCTTCAGCTAATTCTCTCTTTATTTCTCTTATCTTATAATATAATTTAACCACATTGTTTTTACTTTGATGACAAATATCTTCAATTGCCAATTCTAGTTTCTTTAAAGATCCATCCTTAAATACTGCATTTATTCTCTCTCGGTAATTTTAACATTTCATACAAAATTCTTTTGATTTCTCTTTTATCTTCTTCACTTCCAAGCTCTTTATATATTCTACAACATCTTCTGTTTGCGATAGCATATTTAAACTACTTAGCATGTTCACTATTCGACCTTCAACAGGAGCCTTTTTAGATTCTAATTTTAACCTCTCTGCCTTCCTCTCTAATATCTCAGGGATTATCAAATGCTCTTCTTTTGTATAAATAAATTTACAAAGAAAAATCTGTATTTAACAGATCTTTATCTAATAGTGCTAAGAATACTCTATTCGCAATATTTTCTACTTAATTATCATCTAGATTATCTAACCCGTGCTTTTTCTACTCACCTTCTACACGCCGAAGGATATCTTCTTCTATTCTTTTTAACCCCACAGAACCAATACAATACTATGACATTAGCACAATTTGTTCAGCGCAACCGATCTAAAACCCAATAATTCCCTCGTTAATGGCATTCTTACTTCCACCATGAAAACGTTTGTCTTGGTGGAGTGAATTTGATTTCTGGATCAAAATGCATTCCTTTCAACGAGTTTAGCATCCTATAAATAATACCCGTAAAACAAGTATTGGGAATTCGCTCTGCTCTTGAGAATGCTTGAGTATCAAATAAATTGACCACTAATGCATCTTTTTATAAAAACTTCTTGAAAATTTCCATCATTACAAGCTCTTAAAACTAGCGGTAAATCTGCCCTCATATAAATCCAGAACTGTGCCGTTAATCATTTTCACAAAAGTCCTTCACAAATAAGATAAGCTTATTTTATTATTATCTTTTAACACACGTGGATCTCCTACGACTTTTATGTTTTGCTAAAATTAGCAAATTCACCACTATTAATTACACCTTTACACTCAGGTATCTTTTCTCCATACTTCTCTTTAGTTTTTCAATGTTTTCAAGGCTTTCATCACTCAATATATGTGTAGCAAGTGCTCACATTTAACATCAAACTATTAACTAAACTACGTGAATTTTCTTTGTACCTTCTAAAAGAAATTCTAGCTGCTTTAAATAGCGTCAATGGATAGCGTCAATAGATTGAATTTTTCAGCCTTAACTCACTCTATAGTAAAATCAATAACATTGTTAATGTTATTGCTCTTGATGATGCAATCAATAAAAAAGTCGAAGTGAAAGAAAAGTATATCATACATGCTGAAAGCAAGAAAATACACTACTTTCAGTATGTTATTCTTGAAAAATATTTCCCATTATTCTCTTTTTACTTACTTTTTATTGTAAGTAGCTTTCATTTCTTTACAAACATAAAAAGCTTTAAATTTCATTGCGAAATAATAAAGTAACACGCATAAAACAGATACCAATAGGATTAAGTAGAATACTTAATAAAACAAAAGCACCTAAATAGCTAAAAACCCGATCTTACCAGAATCTCTTGAAGAAAATTGTAATTGAGAAATACCTAACATGATACCGCAATATCTAACATAGATATAAGTAGTAATGAAATTAGCTTAAAAGGTCAAGTACGGTAATCCTTAGCTAAACAATATTTTGATCAAAAAACTAAATTTGCAAGTGTTTTATACTTCAATTCTTGTGAGCATTGACAAATAATAATTTTTTCTGCATAAAGTTATAATGTTTTATTTTATATAGAATGTTCCT